TGAAGAGGCAGATGAAGAGCCCCTGAGCTGGGCTAACCTTTATAAAGCAGCCATAAACCAGGCTGGGGCAGAGAGCTTCGAGAGTGTTCGCTCCTTCACGTCGTCAGAAAACAGGCTCAAGACCCAGTGGTTGGTCGGTGTGGAGCTAGAACTTGAACCCAGACAGCCTCAACCAGGTTCTGCCACTGAGCAGCAAGGCTTTGGTGACAATATCATACAGAGGAAGACAGTTACACCTGAAGCTGCTGCAGATGGGGTGGCGGCTCCAGATGCTGGCGCCAGTTTCTATGGGTTCAAAATTTCCTGTTGGCAATTTAGACTCCATGTCAAAAGAAAGCAATAAAAAGGCACTCACCCATGACTTTGCACGCAGTGGTCATCATTTCTTCTCGCTGAGGTCCCAACGGTGAGATGGGCTGTTCATCACAGGCAGTGGTGATGTTGTGTCTCCCCCCCACACACACACACACACAGCCGCAGATTCGGCCCCTTTGCCCCGGCCTTGGTCCTGGCATGGGGCTTCACATTTTGAAGGAAATAATAACTTTCTGTTTCCTAGTGCTCCTCCGTTCTACCCCTCCTCTTGCCCCACCCCAGATGAGATTTACCACACTAAGTCCTGCAATCCAAGCATCCACAAAGAAGGCCAACGCTGGAGAAATCTGAAGTTCGGCCTTCTTGCCGCCAGCTTCCCTGAAGAAGCTGAAGAGTTTGTGCTGAAGAATTTCACCCAGCTCTCTCCACTTCTTCATCTGTACAACGGGAAGCGGCTGATTCTGCCTGCACAGCTGGCAGCTCAGAGACTGGCTGCCAGTTTGTGCCCAGAAAAAAATCAAATTCCTCCATCTGCCCACTCAAAAGGTCTGCTGTCCTCTGTTTTAAAGATGTGTGCACTCAGAGACACCACTGTCTGTTTTAGAAAACAAAACAACTGCCCAGGCCCAGTGATCGAATGACCCCAGGCACAAGGGATGGGCAAATGCAGCAACAGAAAGACACACCTCTCTGTCCCCCACCAAACCGCAACTCCACCTAGGAGTGTAGATCTAGCAACTTTAACCACAGCCAGGGGTTTACAGAAAGAAAGAAAAAAAAAGACTTCCAACAGCTTAGAAAAGGTATTCTGGCTGCTTCGAAAGTCAAGTGCAAGTAGATCAGCCTGGAGCCTCCAAGTCACCAGAGTGGACGGGGTGACAACATCTAGGTCTGCATACAGCCACTCAACAGTTTGTCTAATCGAATCAGCAGATGACGTTTCGAGAGGTTCCCATCTCAGCTCTCTGTTCTTCCCCTTCCTTCGAGACCCAGTGAAAGGGTGAGAACCCCACAGTCATACCCTCATCTCCACAGCAGCCTGGCAGGCTCTGAAATGCCGTCATCCAAAAGCAGAGTCCTTGGGAACTGTTTCTTGGGTGTGGCCCTTGTCCCTTTGGAGACACGGTGCTGCTCCAGGGTGAGGGCAGGACTCAACACTTGCATCATCGCCACATGCTCGGAAGAAGGCTGGCTCTGCATAGTACTGGTACTTCCTGGACACTGAACTCCCCCGTTGTGACATCTCCAAGAATGTCTTCTGACCCTTCTGAAAGGAACAACAGAGGGGCCATTCTCCATTACTAACCTCTCATGGGCCTCTCATACTGCTCATCCGAAATGTTTGGGGGCGCTGGAGAGATGGCTCAGTGTTTAAGAGCACTGATTGATCTAGAGGACTCACGGCTGTGGACCGTTTAGGTTTTTAACCGATCCACCCAGTAGGTGTGGAGTTCAGATCCACGTGGGGCGCCAGAAGAAGAAGGATGCTAAAAGAAATTCCACACTAGCTCTGAATTGAGTACAATAGAGGTTATTTAGGGGTAGACTCACAGATCACAATCCTCTGCTGGAACAGGGAACAGCAACCAAATCCTGCAGCCAGAAAAGAGGCCAGATGTGTGCTTCACATCAGCATAAATAGTATAAGATGCCACGCCCAAGTGGGTGGGTAATTTAAGGGCTACTGGTGGTAGGAAATCCTACAGCATCCCAGCACCAACACAGTGGTTCACATTTGTTGGAGAGTCCAGTTTCAGGGGAGCCAACACCCTGTTCTAGCCTCCAAGGTTCCTTCAGACATGGTGCATAAATATACTCATGCTCACATACATACACATAAAATATTCTTGACTGTCCAACTTCAGTCCTTGGCACTGCTGACCCTTGACATAGGTTCACAGCTCAGCACTGCCTAAAGAAGAGCAAAGAATGCCATCCTTACCTGTTTTTCTAGAACCAGACAAGAGACAAGAGTTCAGCAGCAAGTCACCTATGTGCAAGCTGATGCCAGGAGGAAGAAGCAAGGGGCTGACCAGAGGAGACAGAGGGAAGACAAGAAAGGAGTGTTGAGCTGCAGGGGCAACAGAAGCCCACCAGCACCCGGACCTTCAGAATGTTCCTCAGAGGCAGAGCCTGGGAGCCACTGATCGGTCCCACCTTAGAAACTGGAGGTCATAAATGAGCTGTTGGCTCACCAGCACTTGGGTACAGTCTAAGAGTATCCTCTGCAGATTCAGGAAGAGAGGGGTGGGACACCTCCCACAGGAGCTCCCACAGGCGACTGTCATGGTAGCTAGGCAGATAGAGGTCAGAGACCTTCTGAATCCACTGGGGAAAAAAAAAAAACCTGCCTCAGGAAAACCTGGTACAATAAAAGAAGCCCATCGTCAAGCTGAGAATGAATTATATTTCCGGGACACTTCCATGGGCTCATCTGCCAGTTATGTCTGTTAGCCCCACTTATAAAAGGGTGAATTCAAGCATGTGCCCAAAGCCATGTAAGAATTAACTAACTTGCATACGTGCCGAGGTTCATATGACAAAAGACTTTGCCAGGGAATTACCTTATGTAGCAAAGCACTCAACCCTGTTTTGCAGTTTTTACAGTTAATTTCACGACGGTGCTCCATCCAGAATGCATCATGGAAGCTGCAACCTGTCTGTGGCACTTGGTTTGGCTACAGAGACCCCATGGTCAGTGTCCACCATATTCCAACTCCTCCGAGTCGTGAGATCCAAACACTCCCTTTTGTATGTCTGTGCATGTAGTGGACATGTATGGTATATGAGCATATGTGCAGATGAGCGCATGTGGAGGCCAGCGGAGGACCTTGGGTGTCCTGCTCTGTCTACCTTATTTCCTTGAGATGGGGTCTTCGCTGAACCAGGACCTAGACTGGAAGTCAGCAAGGATTAGCCATCTTCCTGTCTCCACCCTCTACAGCGATGGGTCACAAGCATTTGCAGCCACACCTGGCTTTTTACACCAGCTGAGATCCCAGCTCAGGTAGATCCCCACGACTGCACACAGCACTCTATCCTAGTTTCATCCTCTTAGGATAAACACTCTGACCAAAAGCGACTTGGAGAAGAAAGGGCTGGTTTCAGCTGATTCTTCCTGTCACCGTCCATGGCTGAGAGCCAGGGCAGGAACTGGAGGAGGAACCCGCAGGTGGAGGCTGCTGACTAGCTCTCGCTGGCTTGTTTGTTAATAGCTTTCTTACAGGGTCCAGAACCACCTCCAGTGCCACCCACAGTGGGCTGGGTCCACTCGCTCTCCAGTCATCATCCAAGACAACTCCTCAGACATAGCCACAGGCCACTCTGGTAGACGCAGTTCTTCAGTAGAGGCTCCCTCTTCCCAGGTTGTACCAAGTTGACAAGATGTAAACAGGACATACGGTTAGCCATTGACTGATTTCTCTTACCCCCTTTCAGCCTCAATGTTTTGTAAAATTACCTCCTGGGTGCTAAGATAAAAACAGCAACGAGAACCAATCACTGAAGGTGACCCTGAGTGAACAGATAAGAAAAGCAAAATACATTTTCATAGAGAGACATCCAAATGCAAAGACGTTGGAAGTGAAAAACTGAATTCCACGCTAACCACAATGGCTGTGTTCCATTGTCCATGTTAGACATACTTTCCCAAATCAAGTCAACCCCATGCCTTCTGTGACTGCAGGTGTTAAGAACTTCTAAATCCAGAGTTGGAGGCCACATTGGGCACTCAAAAAGGAGGTACATCGTTGTCATGCACGTGACCACTACCATCTCCAGATATAGGCCTGGGCAGCTACCACTGGATGCACTCAGAGGAGCTACAAAATATCTGAACTCTCATGAAGGAAATATTTTATTCTTAAATAAAAAGTAAGCTAATGTTGTTGAGCAATTACTATAACTAGGGGGGAAGCCTAGGACGTCACTGTACTTCTGTAACATTAAATGTTCATGAGAGGTGAATGAGGAAAGGCACACTGGCGGGATCTACTGCGACCCAGAGAGATCTCTGCGATGTGGGCAGGCATCCCCATCTCCACGTGCTTCATCAACGCCGAAGGGATGTGAGCCGATAGAGTCAGGGCTGGGAGACTCACAAGCTGATCTCAGGTTACAAACCCAGCATTTTAACAAAGTTCTATATGAAGTCAAGCAAGCATCATACACTGAATAACAGGAAACTCTTAGCAATAAATCCAAGACATTATAAGTAAGTTGGGGTTTTTGGTTGTTGTTGCAAGACAGTGGCTGCACCTTCAGCAACTGTTTCAAGCGGCAGCTGCGACTCAGTAGCTACCAGCAGCCAGGCAGGAACTGTCTCCCCAGGCACCGGCTCTACCACAGCTGCTAAAGGAACTTAACCTAGATCTCTATCCTGCCATAGAACTCAGGATACAAAGGTTGAGGTGAAATCCTGCGAGCTCCCAGAGGCTGAATAAATAGCTAACTTCTCTCCTTATTCGTGTCTCCGGGAAAAGGGGGCGTCCTTCTGCTCAGTCCCCATTGAAGAATCTTGCTACACGTGGTTCCTCCCTATCACTTCCTGTCAACTAGTTGCTGACTCAGCCTCCTGACTCCAGATTAATTGTATTTAATCAAACAAATTTAACACAACTTTGCGTTGTTAACAAAAGCAGCAGAAACAAATGTAACACAGTTAAAATAACATCCCACGACAGGTTGGGTTTTTTTTTTCTGGTTTATTAAAACAAAATCCATTTCCATGCTTCTCAGGATACACCGTCATCAGGCATAAAAATCAGCCAACATTTCCAAGGCAGTGCCACTCACAAAATCATACAATGCTATTCTACAGTAGTAATTCTTTCCAGAACAATCTCGTGTACGTTGTACAATGGGCAAATACTGTAACAAACACCTTCCATAGAGACAATTAGCCCTTTAGCTGTTGGGAAGGAAGGTCGAGAGTCTCGAGAAGCAGTCATTGCTTGTGCTAAACTAAATGCCAGATGGCAACTCTCAAGCTCCTAAAAAGTGTTAAAAAACAGATTTACATCCCATAGTAAGTCTTATAAACGTCAAAGATCATTTCAAAACACTACAGTTATCTACGGATAAAAATCTGCATTCAATTGTGCAGTGTTTTCTTGTAGATCTGAATTAAAACCTTTATTATTTACCCCAATTCATCCTTGTATTAATTCTGCTATTTTCAGTTTAAAAGGCCAGGGCCGTGGGTAGCTGACTTCCATCAAAGGAAAGCACTCCAGCCAATGTTCTGTGCTTCCGCTTTCCAGCGAGGAAAAATAACATCCTCACTCGGTGCATCGTGGATGGTAACAAAAGTCTGCAAATTCTGCCTTGGCGCCACTGTCTGTGACCAACTGGTCTGCTTAAAGAACTAATTAATGTTTTCCATGGCATGCAGTGAGGCGCCCCAGAGGGGAGAGAGGTCCTGAGGTCAGAACAGTTTGGAAAATCCTAGGTTCAGCAGGCTTGTGTAGTGCGCTGCGGTGTCCCACGTACCCCAGAACCCAGACACACATCTCAGAGCACTGTGGGAAACAGGGTGCAGGAACTCCTGTCCCAGCTCCCGTTCGCTGCCACCCCATATCTACTTTCTGCACTCACCCTCATGACGGCCAAGGGTCAGCAGAGCCAGGAAGGGCACAGCGCATGCACCCTGGCTGCACTCCCCTAAGCACTTGGTTCAATAGGATCACAAAAGCAAATACTCCTCCCTCCCCTTTCTGATTTACTTGGGTTAGCCTCATTTAAAAAGAAGTGCAGCTTCATATTGCTTAGTATTAGGTTTTTATTTATTTAACTTGACTCACAGTCTTCCCCTGAAGGGCATGCATTTCAGTGTGACAGAAATGCAATAGAGTAAACTGTAATAAATTATACACAAGCACCGAGTTTGTTTGATCTTCCGGGGAAGCCACCCACTGCTGAAAACAAGGGGCCGTCTCTATTAGCCAACAGGCTACCTGCAAGTCTTATCGTGATCCCTTTTCTCTTCCTAACGAGGCACTGAAGAATGAATTGTGCTAAATTAACTCAAGGGTCAGCTTGTTGGGATGAGCATAACTTTGGTTGAGAGTTCTCCTCCGTAGAAAGGTTTCAAAGCACCAGTTGATTACAAAAGCATGCACACATCTCACAGTGAGTTAAGTCTGGCAATAGCACGTGAACTGAAGCCCCTAAAATGAAACTGACCAGAAGGGAGGCCACGGCAAGGGAAGCGCATGTTTTTCTGCAGGCTGCAGAAGCAGCAGCTGCTTGCAGGTGCCAGGCAGGGCAGCAGTGCCCACTGGGAGGTCAGGTCCACAGCTTTGCAGCCACTTTCAGCAAAATGCTTGAGTCCCCAGAAGGGTGTCCCCAAGGGAGTAAGCCAGACTCTCTGGGTATCCTCCAAGTCCACCCTCGTTAACAACATGGAAGGCTAACAGGTGACCATCTCACTCCACACCCACAGTTACAATGGACAGGGAACTGATGCAGAGGAGAGGAGATCTGACATGCACAGTTGCGAAGGGCGGAGACCAGCACAGCACAGCATTATTGCTCTGAGCTCCAAACCAGCCATTTCATGCACTGTGTGATGCCAGGCAGGATCCCACCTCCCCAACATACACGTCTCTCGTAGGATACTATTAGTGTTAAAAATTCAAGTTCAGGAAAGTACAAGTCTCATCCCTAATACTTTTATATATTCAAATTATCTATGGAACACTCATCAGAAAAGTTCCTATTCCATAAAATCATAGAGATATGGACAGTAGATTGCTAGAAATTGTCTTGTCACATGATCATTAAGAAACCGCCATCATTACCACAAGTAACCAACAATTATGCTCCTTGCTCACAAAAAGGCACCTACCCCTTGAAAACAGAAAATTTTCATAATTATTTGCCTTTAAGTGGCAATGGAGTTTGGGTATGTAGCTCATACAAATGTCTAAAGAACCAAGGAGTCTTCTCAGAGCTTAAAATCTACAAAGGCTTGCAACCGTCTGCTGCTCTGTAGGGTCACTGTGCACGCCACACAGGCTGCACAGCACGCCATCTGAGTACTAGTCGTCCAGACAGTGTCTGGAAACCCTCCAGCCGAGCTACAACCAGCACAGAAGCTGACTGGCTGGAGGCCCCTAAGAAGCGCAGATGCCTGCCCTTAAAGGGCGGGAAGGGTACAGCTGCCAAACAGCAGCAACTCTAAGCACTTGCTGGACATTAACTCCATGGCACTTTGTCAGTGAACAAAAAGCCTCCCGTGCCACCTTTCTGGCCAAGCGCAGCTTCACCTTGCCAACCAGATTCACCTCATGGCACTGGCCCTTTGGTCACCATACCTCACTTCCTGCCTTACACAGTATCGTCTGCTTCCAGGCAGCCATTCAAACGCACATTGAGACTGCCAGCCCAGGGCAGAGTCATTCCTTAGTAAAGCACACCAGAGCTCTGCTGACAGCGGTAGGATGGTAAGAGGGAGACGGAGAATGGACCCAATTACTTAAAGGAAACATTATTACACACTGTACAGGACTCAGTTCTACAGACACCTCTATGTCCATCACAGTAACTAGTCCTTAAAAGTCAAACTTAAAATGTGAATCTTTAATAAACTCCAAAATAACTTACTGAGATTTCCCCTAGTGACCTAGAGATCATGAATCACACATGGCACTGGCCCCAAGTGCTCCGCGCAGGCCACTGCGAAGGTGCTGGGCGGAGCGCAGGTCCACGGGGTGGGCAGAAGGCACGCAGCTTCCTGGAGGTCTCCTCGGGTAAGGCAGGCGGGCCACACCAGGACACCTGCCGCTCTGGGTCTCTGGGTCAGACTGGAGCCTGCAGAGACTCCCTTGTCAGCGGCCCCTCCCTCGCCGTAGGTGCCGAGAGAGCCCTACAGCACCACGAAACTCAGAATGAACTCCAGGAGTTTCTGCCGGTTGCACTGAGGTAGGAAAGTGCCGCTCAGTTCTAAAACAGAGACTCTCTTCTGCTTGGTCTCTTTGAAAACCTGAAGAGAGGAAAGAGAAAACACAAGTCAAGAAAGGATGGGGGTGAGGGGGCACTCTGTTAGCAGCCGCAGACGGACGTCCACGGAAACGTGGCATGGAGGTGTGAGTGTTCGGTGTTAGCACATAGGTTTGCGGGTCTGCCGTAAGCCCCGAAGCGCGAGATGGGATTTCTGGGGGAAGTTCAGTCAGTGCCTTGGCTTTCACAACTAAAGTCAGAAACAAAGCCTTATCAAAGGTCACGTGCAGCTCCGTGGAGCGCATCATACATGAAGATACAAAGAAACCTGAGGCTAATTTTAGCAAAGCTGGTCAACATGCAAGAAAATAACAGACTGTGGAACAGTTAACACAGAGCCTGCCCAGTGGATGTTACTTCTAGTTTGGGGATGAATGTGAAACCTGCAGAATCAGACATGCCTTCCACATGCCCTGCCCCAACCCTCCCCCTAGGAGATGCATCCCCAGTCAGTCCAGCAGAAAATACTTGTGGACCCCACAGAGGAGAGCGACAGATTGGAGACACACGACAAAAGGGCAGCACAGTGGTGGACACATACCCCGATGTCCTTAAACATTTTCACAGCGTTCTTCACAAGACAGTAGGTGGCACTCTCAGCTGCAGAGAAACAACAACAGCCGACATTGGAGGCTACAGAGTGTGAAAGCAGAAGTCCAGATTGGAGGGAGCAAGCTCCCTACTGCTACTGGCAACTCCTACGGCCTCCTCCAAATGACCTACTTACTAGCTCTTTAAACCTGTGCTATCGTCTACTAAGGAGAACAGAGAAAAAAGAGTCAGGGGGAGAGGGAAGATACACAGAGCATCCGCCTTGCAGGGGTTTGTGAGAATCCAACAAAATGGTCTGTAAAACTCTAAAAAAATGACAGTGATGCGGGGATAATCTGAGGCCCATGGCCACGCGTGAAGCTCAAGTCCAGAGATCAGGAAACAAGAATTCTAACCCACTTGCCACTAACTTGCCAAGGGCCCAGGACCGGCACTTGTACAATGAAAGACTGACTACATAGCAGACAGAACCACAGGCAACATGTATGAATCTCACACATCATGTTAACTGCAAAAAAGCAGACAGAGAATACACAACTGTACCACTTAATTTATATGACATGCCCTGCCGGTCTAAGGAATGAGGTCAGCATAATTCTGCATTTTCCCCAATTGCCCAAAATTAACAGATTTATATAATGGGGCAACAGTTCTAAAAGAAGCCAAAACAATGACTCCACATACCATAGACTGCGACATTCCTTTCTGTCCTGGTGAGAAGGTACCTGTGCAACTTCTGCAGGTACTCAGACTCGGGGACTGGACCACTGAAGTTGTGGACGAAGATGGCGGCAGAGCTGTAGGCCTCTAGCAAGGGCCCCAAGAGCCTCTGCAGGAAGCTGACGAACTGCTGGTGCTCCTTGGACTGGCTCACCTGAGAGGGTGAGGGAGGAGGTGAGGACACAAGAAGGGACAGGAAAGCAACTGGGAAGAGCAGCTGAGCGCTCATTCCGCAGGACCCGAGGGCTGGGTCCACTCAGCGGTCATCTACAGCAATCGTCCCAAGGGACTGACAGCATTATAACCAAGTCTCATCGCTGAGAAGAGCTGGACTGCGGCTGAGCCCTGCAGGGTCTGCGACACAAGCATAACAGCCACTCATGCACACAAAACACGGGGAACAGCAACTATGTTTTCCTGTGCACCGTCCAATGGGAAACTAATAAGACCCAGATGGAAAGAGAGGGCGTGCCTAAGTGTCGCCCTGCGGACACCGGGTAGAGGAATGTCAGGTGCCACCTGAGCATCTCCTGGAGGTGCTGAAAGTCACCTCCTTTCTTCGTCCTAGCTCTTCAAATACCATCCCCTTTCCATTTACCAGTCCCCAAACTTGACAACATAAGACATTAATTTAAATGACTTTACTCAGTGAAAGGTACCAGAGCTGGCTAGCGCTGGCCCACAAGTACTTTGGAACTGAGTAAGTCACCATCCCTGTTATCCAGCTGTAACATAAACTTAACGCTTCGCTGCTGTGCACCCGGAATCCTTCACAAAGTACCTTCAGATAGCAATCTCGCTGCTCCTCGCCAAAATCACTGTCTTCATCTTCCTCATCACTTCTCCAGGTCAGAGGTTCTGGAAGCTTCTTGTCCCACTGCTGTTCTGCAAGGCCAGGACTGACGTCTTCCTGGTCATCCTGCTGTATCGGGAAGACAGCTGGCAGTAAGAACACATGGGGAGGCACACAACCAAGCACCCATCAACCCCAACAGAGCAATCTCTTCTCAGAGCCTGCCTCACCCTTCCCTGCGGCACAGCCCTCAGGGAGGCAGCAGGGGAGAAGGACAGATGGGGCTTGGGGGAGGGCTACACTCTCCGAACAGAGAGCTGCCTTCCCAGTCCCTCTGAAGGACACGGCATCTATCAGAGCAGACCCGAATCTCAAAAGATAAAAATATTACGCATGAGCTACAAGTGATATGCTTCTTGTCTCATCCCAGAACCAACTTCTGGATGTCAGAGAATCAAATCCAAGTATTGTTTTAATTTAGAAAATACCACTTATAAAAGAAATCAAAATAGTAAACAATCCCAAGACCCTTGTGTCCCATTCTTACTGTCCTTTTCTATCATCTGGACATAAATACATACAGCAAGTGGATTTTAGAAGCTGAGGTAAGTGGTAGTTTAAATAACTAATTGGTAGGAAAGGAAAACGAAGAGGGAGCAGCTAAGCAGAGACAATCAAGGCGGCGCGTTCTCACCTCTGCCACCGTGAGAATGCCGTACTGGATGAACTTCCCCACTGTCTCGTGACAAACTTGGTAAAAAGTCTGGCAGGGCTGGAAAGAAAGTTATTTAAAGGTGAGTCGGCCTCCCCTTCTCCTGGAGGCTGCAGAGTGGCTGTCAGCCCCTTCGTTCCACCGCCTCCTCCACCCTGACAAAGTCCTAGGATCTCTGATGTCCACATCTTGATAAATGGTCATGACAAGGCCAGAGAAGAGTCCTTTCCCAGGAATGGCCACGCACTTATGTGGTCCCAGCTATGGAGAGAGCTCCGGAGCCCAGTGCCCTGAATGGGACGAGCCCTGGAAGGACCAACTGCCCAGACCTTCTGGGAACCTTTGTCTCACAGTGAAGGCAGTTCACACGTATAATGACCAAGAAACACAGCACTCCAGTAACGGGAAAGACCCGTAGAAAACACGAGGCCCACTTCAGAAGCCCTATCTGCCCACACCCCTCCTATCTGCCCACACCCCTCCTATCTGCCCACACCCCTCCTATCTGCCCACACCCCTCCTATCTGCCCACACCCCTCCTGATCCTGCCACCCCAGTGTCAAACACACATAAAGAGCATGTTCAAGACGACCACATTCAAAATGCACACACTCGTGAATGTCCCGTCATGAGTCATGTTTTTTTCTTAAATATTTATTTATTATGTATACAATATTCTGTCTGTGTGTATGCCTGCAGGCCAGAAGAGGGCACCAGACTTCATTACAGATGGTTGTGAGCCACCATGTGGTTGCTGGGAATTGAACTCAGGACCTTTGGAAGAGCAGGCAATGCTCTTAACCACTGAGCCATCTCTCCAGCCCCCAATCATGAGTCATATGAGAGAAAAAAAGTAACACGGTGCAAAAATAGGTTCTACTTGATTTTGAGTACCCAGAATCTGCTTACTACGTAGACTCATTTTAACGCCGACTGGTGTAAGGATGTGATAAGGGGACCACTCACACGGCTGAGCCCCTGAGTGTGTAAGCTGAGGTGTTCTCTACCTATTTATCATCTGGGTTCCAACATCCACAGTGGGTGTGCTCCTTACTGACACCAACACAGCACCTTCTGCACAGCCACTGAGCAGTAACTTGGGGTCCTGACTGAGAACTGCCAGCAGTCTCTCATGTCTCAGAGCCAGCGCACTGGGCACCCAGCCAGACAAACCAAGACAGTCAAGGCCAAGCTAGGCTAGTAGCCACTGAGACTGAGAGTGGACCAGAAAGCTGCAGCCACAGAACAAAAGCTCTCTGGAAAAAAGCAAAGGTACTTTATGTGTTCATGCAAACAATACGAAAGGATCAGGGAGCACGGCGGAGCCTTCACTCACCAGAGAGATGGTGCCTTCATTGGAAAGAAGGTAGCACAGGCTGGCTGCCTTCCGCACCAGCTGCTCCTGGCTGATCAAGCTGCCATTGCCACCAGCAGACCCTCCCGAGCCCCTCTTATTCAGAACAGCATACAGGCTGCAGGCTGAGGAAACACAAGGAACAGTGAGGGACAGCAGGGTCATCAGTGCTGGGTGGCCCTTCTATTACCATTAAAGCCTATTAACAAAACTAACGGTCTACAGAAGCCTCAGAAGTGTAAGCAAAACTCCACAGACTCCCACTCTGTGAGCAGTTCAGGTCCTCTGGTCTCCCGCAGTGCCGGGAAGGCAATCCTTGGCAACGTTTTCACTGGAGATAAGCTACAGTGGTGCACCCCTCAAACAAGGTGCTTGCTGGCTAACGTACCTATGATGGCTTCCATGATGAAGACATGAAGCACCCCGTTGCTGTAGAAGTTGAGTTCGAAGACTGCGGGGACCGTTGTGCTGGGGGTGATGAAAAACTCGTCCTTCCTGCTAGTGTGTGTGATGGTGACACAGTTCCCCAGGAGCTGGATGGCGTGCATGACGACATCTTCTGAATTCCCGGAGAATCCCAGGTCAAAGTCACGAGCTAGGACTTCCTCCTTCATCACAAAGAAGTCTTCCACTAATGTGGAGAGGTGGATGCCCTACGGAGAGACAAAAGCAGACTGTGACAGCGCAAAGTCTCATCTCCCAGACTTTCTTCCTACTGTGGCTGTCCAGCGTGTACACACAGCAACAGGCCCAGACCAGCAAGGTGAGCGGTAGGGATGTCAGGGCAGATGGCACATCACAAACCCTGAGCACAAGGGACCACCAAGGGAAGGAGACACAGTCTGAGAGTCGCACCCCGCTTGAAGCACTCGCCTCCCGAATGTTTAGTTGGTGCCTACATACAGACCCCACGTCTGGTGTCAAGAGTATGACAAAGAATACGAAGGACTCTCCCACAGCAGAGCTCCACAAGCCTATGATGGGAGGGCAGAGGGAGCTCTCACAAACATAGCAACTTCCCTGGAACTTCTCCAGCAGAATGCATACCGTGTGTCATTGAAATACGCCTTACTTTAGTTAACTACACACCAGAGAGAGCGAGCATCCTTCTGATCTAAACGTTTACAGTCTGGCTCAATCTCATGCAACTTCTTCCCTCACTGGGCTGGTGAATTCTGGGCAGGACGCCCTGCTTCTGTCACTGTTCATCTCACTGCCTCAGCCTAAAACAGGTAGACACACACCCAGGCTTCCTAGGACCACCAGGACCACCGGACGTACCTGCCTGTGTCTGTAAAGGAGCAGGCAGGCCACAATGTGGGTGGACATGATAGCACAGGACTTGCTAGCAGCTGGAAAGAAACAGAGCATTAGTTGGCCTTGCTCTAACTTATGTGAGACCTTGGAAGTACCTTGGCTTTAGACAGGAACAGGGAGCTAACCATATCTTCTACTGTATTTCTTATAGCTGCAACTTACAATGGAAATATAACTGGATTTGCCAGTGTTCTGGTACAATGGAGCCTCACAGCAACCACTAGCCATGAGACATATTCTATGACAGACCAATGAGGTTAGGTCACTAAATGAAGGTTTTTTTCTCAAATACCAAAACCCAAAACATAGGCACATCTGGAACTCTAAGCCCCCCTCTCCCATTGTGTGCTTCGGCATGCTATGGGCTACAGCCTTCTTTCCCTCTTCTGAAGCTCCATGTGTAAAAATGAAAGTACAAGAGCGAAGAAACAGTAGACTTGAAGTCACAAAATTAGGGCTCAAATTCTAACTGTCACACTAATTGATGTCCTGATTTGGAGTGAATTCCCAAACTCTGGAGTCTCTATTTTTAAAACATGGAGACATTCACTGGGCTGCAGGAAACAGGCTGAAGGCCTGGTAGACACTCCTAGCAAGGATGCTCAATACGCTTGCAGTTCCTCTTTCGTTGTGGCCCAGAGAAGTGGGGAGGAGACACAGAGATACATCTAGAACACACCTATGCTTTGGAGTGTGTAGAAAATTATCATCATCTAGAGAACTATGAAACAGAGATGCCATTTGTGAGCCTCTGAAATGACAGTGGATTTAGAAATACTTCACTTGCAATTACAGCTGCCTCCAGTGTTTGCAATGTATCCAGCATCATTTAACAGTCATTAGGAAAAAACATTTATGAAAAACCTTAAAACACCAATAAATATGTAAAATAAATAGAAAATAATTCAAGGCCACAAAATATTTTTGGAGACTACACATCAGCACCACTGATTACCAGAAGGCGGCTTTCTTATTTCATTTCTGCCTTCCTTTGACAATTATGAAGAATCTGCTTTGGCATCCATATCTGAGGTGTGGGATACAGTCACATATTCTTAAGAAAAGTTCTCTGGGCTGGAGGCCTGGCGGCTCATGGGTAGACACCTGCTTAGAACGTGTGAGGTCCACAATTCCATCCACATAGCACACACACAATCTCCTGGCCGGGAGTCAAGTAGGAAAAGCAGCAGCCACGGTGGGATAATGGGACCCTCTCTCTACAACAGTGCTCACAGGCAGTGATGAGAATCCGGCCAGAAGTGGCCCAGGAAACAGAAAGGAGAGCCAACAAGAGCTGAGCCCCGGGACAACACAGTGTTATCTATGCTCAGGTTTTCAAGAGCAGAATGCTGCACTTGGAATTTAAGGACAGCTTGAAGGTGGCCGGCTCACCCTCTCCTCAGAGTTAGTCTGGATGCACTATCTGTGCACAACTATTCCAGGATAAAAGCAGAAGTTGTCAGAGCCACTGGGGGTTCATCTGCATCCCCACAGCTGAAACAGCTCGACATTTACTGAGTTAAAATCTGCATTGGGGCTAGAGGAGAAAGAGACACCCAAGTATAAGCCCAGATATCACGCCGTACAATAGTTCAGGCTAGTTATGAGCAAAAGGATCTACAATCATCCTGACAAAATCTGTTTTAATAACCATGAGAATTGCTGCACAAGGACCTCTGGGTATTTTTCAGACATCCACCCACCCCTCGCTGTCACCTTCCTTCCAGGTTCTTGCCTATCACAGTCTATGGAATAGGTGACGGACTCACGAGAAAGTAACTTGAGCAGACTCCCAGCCCGCAGGGCCACACTACTCCGCATGCCCTGTGACCCGTGGGTAAGTGTGGCGCTCTACTTACTGAAGAGAATGTGCTCGCCCAGGTTCGCAATCAGTCTTCTTCGGAAGGCTTCATCCACTGCGTTTCTGGACTCGTTGCTGGATGTGTCTTGACTTTCATCAGCAGCATCATTAGGTCTAAAAGATTTGTAAAATCAGTCTTCTGCACGTCAGCTTTATTTTATTTATTTATTTATTTATTTATTCATTCATTCATTCATTCATTCATTTATTTATGTATGTATGTATTTGAGATAGCATCTCATTCTGTTGCCCAGGCTAGCTAAAATTCCCTACACAGACTAGGCCCGCCTCAAGCTTGCAACGCTCCTCCAGTCTTCCAACTTCTGGGGTGACAGACATGTACCACACCCAGCCCTATGCAAAAAATATAGGACTAACTTCTAAATGTATAAATAGTTCTGATCATTATATATTTTAAATTTTAATTATAAATAAATAATTTCTCTGGATTGTTTTCCTCTACAATGTAGAGCCTAATGCATTTTTCCAGACAGAATACTTTGTTTATTAATGACTAAACAGTCTATTAATACATCACCCAAACCCACTGACAGAAAGAATGCAAGAAGCAAGAGACCATGTTTTAGAACATCTGAAAACTCAACCTCTTACCTAAGAAGGGCTCTAAATTACGCTGTATTTTCAGTTCTAGAAAATTCAATTACTATTAAACTCTTTTATAAATCTTACTCACAATATGCATAACCCAAGAGACCCCCAAATAAATTCAGTTCAGGTATATATATCAAGTCATCTAACAAGAGTCATAAAAAGGCTCAACACAAAATTAGACAAAGCCTAGAGAGAGAGAGAGAGAGAGAGAGAGAGAGAGAGCGCAAGCAAAAGCATTCCCACATCTTTATCAAACCAAGAGGACTGTCACCACACGGAGGATGGAACAAGAAGGAGCATGCTCCTACTAACGCTAACCTACTGCCCCATGCAATGCAGGAAGGAGAGTTCCCGAACAGGTGAGCTAGCACAGGGTCTGAACACCCTACCTTGTAGGAAGAATAGCTGGTAACAGTGCTTGCTCCAGAGAAAGGGGAGCAGACACAGGTTTCTGACTTTGGCTTTCTAAATATTCCTGGAAAAATAAAAAGGAAAGAAGAAACCCTTCATAACAACATATAAACTGTATTTTCGTCTTCAGCAGTTAAGAGGAACTGCGGACACAAGCTTCAGGCCAGGGCTTCCACAGACTGTCTCACCTTCAAGGAAAATGGCTGTGCAAAGTCCACCCTGACGTATCCATAGTTCTTCCGCAGCATCCTGATGACGCCTCTCGCCACGCTCCAAAGACTCTCGTTCTTCTTGGGCTTGCCCTAAATACAGCGGGGAAGGGGAGGGTGCTCTGGTGTGACGCTGTTTCTTCTGAGACAGTCTCACTATGATATCCAAACCTGCAATCCTCCAGCCCCGCCCCTTGCAACTGTTCAGAGACAGCCATGAGACACTATGCCTGGCTTAGAATAATTTTTTCATAGAAACTTGAATCCTACCTTGATAAGAAGAATGATATGTAAAGAATGAAAAGTGAGTGACTGGCAGCCAGGGTTGTCAACCTTCTGACTCTAAGTGGGTCAGGCCACATTCACAGCTACCCTGGGATCATGTGACCCACAAGCACAGACTGGACAGGCCTGACTGCTTCACCTGAAACCTGACAGAAAGTGCCTAGTATTCAAAGATGCTCACAGATGTAGTCGTGTCATTCAGGGGAGGAGACTGAGCAAAGTGGGGCATGCCAGCCAGTCTCATGGTGGCCTTCCCATTAATGAGACACTTGAAAGTATTTGCTTAACAAGTCATCCCACAAGGCACACACAGTGATGGCACAAATTGTCGAGAGCCATCAGTCCGCTATCCTTAAATCCTCCAGTAGCCAGGAACCCCCCAGTTTCTGACACACTGGAGCACAAACTTTGACGCACATGCTTTGCCCAAGACTTCCACACTAAGTCAACAAAACCGGCCCCTCTGGCACCGCACACTGCTGCTCAGAGTGGTTGGCTATTGAAGCCATCTGGGAGATATGCCTGATGGACAGGGCGGTGCTTACAAACCGAGTACCCTTAGATTACAGCTAGCACCTCCCTTCCTCAACACACATAATCCACAGCGAACCCATAGTCCAGGAGAAATGCACTGGACTAAAGAGCCTTGTGGGTGATTTATTCACAGTGGAACATCTCCCCTGTGGGGTATGAACTGCATTCAAGGCTGAGCCTCACAAGTGCCTGAGCTTACAGGTAATCAGATACAAAAGAACCACATAACATTATTATTATATAAAGTTCAGCAATGCAGAAAACCAATCTCTCTGCAAGAGGCTGGACAAGAGGCTCTCCTGGAGGAAACTAAGAGGAAAGGTATGGGAAGATTTCTGGGACCCTGACGTCACTCCATCATCTGGGTGCTAGGTTCACAGGTGATGATTTTGTGATAGTCAATCTAAGTGCTTATTTATGACTTGGGCATCCTTTCGCAAAAGTTTGCTGAAAAGATCACTCCCATTTCTCACATCAGTTTGCAGTTGCTCAGCCAATGTGACCCAGCCGGTCTTCAGGATTCACTGAAATTCACTCAGAATCAAGCCACAGACCTCAGAGAGGAGAGCATGGATACCCACACTGCCCACATAGTGGAGATCACAGCTCACTGACAAGTGGCTTTCCACCTGCAATCCCTTGATCAAGGCCAGCACTGACGTATGAGTTCACGCACTTCTCTAAGCCCAGGGAAACACAAGAGACTCACTCACAAGCTGACAGACACGATGAAGGCAGCTCACCATGCCCATTCAGGCAGGTTTCAGATACGCAACAAGAAAAACCACGTTAGCAAAATGCCACTCTGATCTAACACTAACCGTTCAATATAAAAGCAAAGTTTGAAAGGGGAAGACGGCCTTGTGCGGGCTGACTCCTTACCAGCTGTTCACCATTGTAGTGGCCTTCGATTATCCGATCATAGGAGATGCCCACAGGAATGACAAGGATGTCAGGGATGGTGTTGGAGGACAGAGTGTCCACTATCACCGACAGCAGCCCTGCCCGAGCACAGGAGGTCTTCCCACTCCGGGAGCGCGTGCCTTCCAGGAAGATCTCCAGGAACTGCTGCTGCCGGAGCAGTTCAACTATGTGCTGAGACAGGAGAGAATCAGACGTGAACTAGGACCTCGCAATTCAGCTGAGCTCAGAACAGCAGAATCTTAAGACGAAACAGGGGGAAATGTAATGTCACCACTAACTAATCATTTCCCCTTATCCAGAACTGCAGAGCATCCCACCAAAGTCGCTCTGGCCAGTCATCTCCCAAATCAAAGAACAAATTTATAAAAATCCTACAACACAGCTCCATCACTCTCTGTGATGGCTAACACTACAGCGCTGAGGGAAATTAAAGGCCATACGCACCCCATGAAGCAGCGCTCTATAGAGAATGTCTTTGCGTCCGTCTGGGGTTTCATCAAGCCTCCTTCTTATGAAGAAGCCCCCAAGCTTGTGAATCAAGGTGCTACAAATGAGAGAACACACAAATGACTTATAAGGAAACATGGAAAGACTCAAATGTCAAGCTACTCCACAGCACTGTCCATGCAGACAGAAGTCCCGTGTCATGTGAATGTTCACAGTGGAAATGCAAAGCTCAGTCTTCATGCCGTCGACACGCTTCACCCATTCCTCAGCCTCTGGGGTACCGCTGCAGAAGTTCTAAGCCAAAAAGGAGTTCTGATTTGATGTCATCCTCAAAGGTTATGACACAGTTTTGAAGATTTTGGAATGCTTCTAAATTTAAAAGTAGAGAGTCACTGCCTTCAGTTATATATCCACTGGTGAGTCCTCCAGGCTCCCGTGGACAGTCTGTCCAGTGCTCACGCAGATGGAGTCCTCCAGGTTCCCGTGGACAGTCGGTCCAGTGCTCACACAGATGGGAGTCATCCAGGCTCCAGTGGACAGTCGGTCCAGTGGTCACACAGATGGAGTCCTCCAGGCTCCCATGGACAGTCGGTCCAGTGGTCACACAGATGGAGTCCTCCAGGCTCCAGTGGACAGTCGGTCCAGTGGTCACACAGATGGAGTCCTCCAGGCTCCAGTGAACAGTCTGTCCAGTGATTATGCAGTTGGAGTCCTCCAGACTCCAGTGAACAGTCTGTCCAGTGATCATGCAGATGGAGTCCTCCAGGCTTCCGTGGACAGTCTGTCCAGTAGTCACACAGATGAGAGTCCTCCAGGTTCCAGTGAACAGTCAGTCCAGTGGTCATGCAGTTGGGAGTCCTCTAGGCTCCAGTGAACAGTTCTGTCCAGTGCTCACACAGATGGAGTCCTCTAGGCTCCAGTGAACAGTTCTGTCCAGTGCTCAAACAGATGGGAATCCTCCAGGCTCCAGTGAACAGTCTTCCCAGTGCTCACGCAGATGGGTGGTCTTGGTTAAACTAAATGGCTCACAGCCTGGACAGATAGCTCAGGAATTAAGAGCACTGACTTCTTGCTGAGGACCCTAGTTCAATTCCCACCACCCACATAGTGGTTCACAACCATCTGTAACTCCAGTTCCAGGGGATCTGACATGCTTTTCTGAACTCCTTGGACACCAGGCACACAAGTGATGCTTATACATACATGCAAGAAAAACATTCATACACATGAAAGAAATAAATCTTAAAAAAATTTAAACACAAATGGATCACATACACAAAAGAAAACAAAAGTAAAAGCCATGAATGAGGAAGGGCTGACTGGTAGGGATGGGGTAAGGTTAACAGAGATGAGAGAAAAATAAGAGAGGCTGAGGAGGGGAATAATCAGAATATACTACATACATCTATGAAACTGTCAAAACCAAATCAATGGCTGAGCATGGTGCTGCCTTTATCCTCAGCACTCAGGAGGCAGAGACAGGGTTTTCAAGTTCAGCCTGGCCTACACTGCTGGCCAGCCAGAGTGACAGAGTAAAATCCTGTCTTGGAAACAGAAACAAACAAACAAACAAAAAGAACCAATAAAAAGAAAGTTTTTTAAACCCTATCCAAGCTCTCCAAACTCTTTCCAAAGAGTCTGTCTTAGGTTTCAGACAAATAGACACTGGCCCATGGCAAATTTGCAAAGTGAAAATGTCCTTTAAGGAAAATCCTCTCAAATAGCTAGTGAGGTCCCTATAGGAAGAGTAATTTTATCAAACCAAAATCAAATATAAAACAGGAAACGGGCTAGAGAGACAGCTCAGCAGTTAAGAACACTGGCTGCTCTTTCAGAGGACCTGTGTTCAATGCCCAGCACCTCCATGGGACAGCTCAGAACCCTCTGTAACTCTAATTCCAGGGCATCAGATCCCCTCTTCCAACCTATTGTCTAAAAAACCAAAACCTAGGTTCATTTGCACACACAGAAACAAAACAATTCTGCTGCCAACACCAAGACTCTTTCTGCAACACTGATAAGTTTAGATATGAAGTTGAAAGTTTGTCAGATTTCCTGAATATACAATCTCAAATGGAGCAATTGTCTTCAAACAGATGTTAGTATTCACACTGGTGTAAACAGACATTAGCATTCACACTGGTGTAAACAGACATTAGTGCTCACACTGGTGTAAACAGACACTAGCGTTCACACTGGTGTAAACAGACATTAACATTCACACTGGTGTAAACAGACATTAGTGCTCACACTGGTGTAAACAGACATTAACATTCACACTGGTGTAAACAGACATCAGCGTTAACACTGGTGTGTAAACAGACATTAACGTTCACACTGGTGTGAGTAGCCATGCTATATTAAAATGTTAACGTGCTCTGGTCTCCTTTATAATCTGTATACGGAAGTCAGGGTGAGATGTGGGTGAAGTGCGAAATCACTGAAATTCTCAGAAAAAATTTAGTGAGGGAACAGTGTACCCTGAGATGTGCTGTCACTGTGGAGGTGTAGATGTGGTGAAAGAAAACTGCGGACAGACAAGTTTGTTTATAGTCCGCTATATCTGAAGGAAAGGCAAGCTGAGCAAAGGCTGGCATGAGCTCCTGAAAGGAGATGCTATTATGAGAAATTATCAACACTGATACTTAATAAAAGTCTCATGAGAACTAGATGAGGAACGACCACAGGGAGAGCACCAACAGAAGAGACACCTTAGTTCTGAGAGCAGGCCTTCCTGTGTGTCTGTGTCTATCTGTCCCTCATTCTGTCTCTCTGTCTCTGTCTATCTCTCTATCTCTGTGTGTGTGTATGTGTGTGTGTGTATGTGTGTGCGCATGCGTGAATGTGTATGTGTATGCGTAGATCCATCCACGTGAGCCCAGAGCACAACCACGAGCGTCATTAACCAAGACCTATCTATCTACAGTTTGAGACTGGGTCTCTAACCGGCCAGGAACCTGACAAACGGGCTAGGCTGACTGCCCAGAGGTCTGAGGTTCCGCCTGTCCCAACACTAAGATCACAAGCAGACACCACACCCACACTTTTTCCCACCTCAGATCCTCAAGCCTACAAGCAGTTTACCAGCTGTACCATCTTCCCAGTCAACCTTGTTGATAATGTTTAATTTAGCTTCTGTCCCTTGGTGCTGGAAAAGATACCCTGGAGTATCACATGGTTGTTCTAGTCCTGGGAAAGGAAAGCACGTTTCTCCTGTAGGCTGGCTGTTTGTCTGGGCTCCCATTACACAACAAGCTATTTGATAGCTAGGACTGTATGTGTCTTGTCCATGTTTGCTTGATGCTCAATGGAATAAATCCACTGACTTCTGCTGATGACATCTGTCTGGCTAGCTGCAGCACTCTGGGAACCAGGACAGAGCACCCTGCACCATGAGGCTGAGGCCAGGACTCTGGATGCCACTGTAGGAGGCTCTGCCTGCCAGGCCACCGACTCTCCCTACAGTTTCTCTCTGTGTTCACCCTCCTAAGTCACGTCAGATCACAGAGCTGGCCTCAGTGCTCTGCGCTGCTCGGAGTTAAAGTTCCGTTTCTCAGTTCCACCCAGTCCTCGCTGGCTCCTCAGTGAGCAGACTTAGAGCAGATCTCCTACACCCTCGTCTGAGCTCCACATCTGGACAAGACCTGACTCTTGGGAACTTAGCTCACTAATTCCTTTAGTGAGCCTCTGCCCTCCTCCCCAAGAACACAGCTATTCTTCTGATGTAAACCCTCATCATTTGCCAGAACTCTCACAACAGAATCAAAATTAATTTCTTCAATACCAGAATGGCCACTCAACATACAGGCCTGACCAGATCAGTGTTCAAAGCCAGGACAGACACCAAACCTCAGCTCAGAGCTGCTCTTGAACTAGCCCTCACTATCTGTGCAGCTGCCCCTCCAGCCTCTGGCCTTTCCTTGCGCTGCCAACTTACCTGCTTGCCCACCCACCACATTCTCACCACCTTGCTCTTGAGTCCCTGCCTTTGAACACACTGCTCCCTTTCAGTAGAACGCACAGCATCCACTGGGAATGCAGAGAAACACCTCCTGGGTTGCATCGTAATCTCTCCATCATGAGGTCAAGAAAACAGCAGGGCCAGTGTCGCCAGCCTTTATCTACCACAGGGCCAGCACCTAAGCCTCCTCTGACAGGGCTGGTACCATACCCTGCTTCACTACTTCCTAACAGCTGTCCATCCACCTGACGAACACTGCCCTTCAAGCTTCCCTAGGCACAGTCCACCATGCAGCTCGTACACAGAAATACGGTGAGGAACAGTGTATACCAGCCAAAAGCTACACAATGAAGCATTGGTTTTCTAATAAAAAAGGGCTAATGCCACTTTTATAACATGTATCACAGATAACAAAACAAGTGCCAAATTCAAACCAATCCTTTTTGTTTTTTGAAACAGAGACTCACTATACAGCCCTGGCAAACCAGTAACCTGCAACGTGCACCAAGACAGCCTAGAATTCAGAAATCCACCTGCCTCCACCTCTTGAACACTATGACTAAAGGTATGTCCAACATGTCAGACAGAACAATCTTTTTAATACCTTGAATTTCAAACAAAGCCAATCTCACCTGAAGATGGGAATGTTGAGGTTATTGCCCGAGGCGATGTATGGCGCCTTGATGTTATGGCAGAAGAGAATGAAGGTGAGCAGCAGATAGTCGATGTGGGATCTATGCACCGGCAGGAACAAGAGCGGCAGATTCGTCTAGGGTAGAGGGAGGCGCCAACCTTAAAGCTCAGGTGTTACCAGTCAGTCCCACTTCGCCACTGCATTTGGTTACGGTCACTCATCACTGGCTAATCAATGACTCACTCTCTACAAACATGCTCCAGTGATTCTCCAGGACCTACATATCCAGATATAAGATCCGCTACTACAACAACAGCAACTAGTGGGGGAAGAATCAACAAGTTCAAGTCGACCACACCTCTTCTGAGACGCAGTCTTCATTACGGAAAATGAGCAGAGCTCTTTGGAGCCAGGCTTGGTTTAAAACACTAAGAAAATTACTTACTATCTGTGACTTGGGTTAATGTTTCCCTAACACCTACGCCTCCATCTCTGTCTCCCTGTGTATAAAACAGGTATTACGTGACCTGGTGTTCAGGGTTGTCCCCAGGTAACTTAGAAAAGCAATCCTATACATTTTTGATAGGCCCTGCTTCTCTCAAAAATGAACTACAGTTATCACAAAGTGGGACACTCCCAAAAGCCTTCAGAATCCCGACGGCACGGGGAGACTCTCTGAAGGAGCTCTAACAGCACAGCACACCCTCAGGAGAGACAGAGGGTGGAGCAGATAACCTTACCTCGGTTGCAGCTTTAACCATCTCAAGCTGACCCTTGTGAATCTGAATGTTCCAGAAGAAACTGTTGAAGAGCTTTAGCAATACCCAGCCAGTCAGCCTGAAAGAAATATAAACATTTGAGTCCATACAAACATAGACAAACATATGTACGTTATAAATCTGCATACAGTTCACTTTTCTCCCACGGCTTGAGTCCACAACCTAAAAGCACTTGTAAGTGACTTCATGTGTGTGCACTTCGGTATCTGGACTGTGAATGAGTATTCTAATGTATACAGACACTGCTCACACAAGTATGTTCTCGCTGTGGACTGTGAACACTCTGAAAGCACTCATACTAAATTAGCGAGCAAAAGGATCCTTCTAACACAGGCAACCACTCCCCGTAGGACACGAGACTCAGCCATTGGAGAACAGGTGACACCCATAATACAGTGGCTGCTACCGATCAGCAGGGACAAAGGCAGATCGAAGCCTCTATCATGCTATTTACATTTGAGTAAGCAGATTTCACACTGAAATACATCAACATCTTTGCTCACATGTTTTCCTTGAGCTAGGAAAGGAAGATCCAATAGTTATAGAAAGATAATAGTGATAGAAAGATGCTGGCTTTGGCCTCAAGCCACCATCCCCTAAATACCTGATCATGCCTGGGGAGACAGTAGCAACCATTTCCTGCAGGATCTTCCTGGCTTTCTTTTTCACTTTCTGGATAGCTTTGGACTGCTGCTGGGCAGATCCATCTGGGTTCAACTCAGCAGCCACTTCAGCAATTGCCTCTTGGACTCTGATGTGAAAGTAAGAGTCAGACACTGAAATTAACCATATGTTACTGGGAACATTTGGTATTTTCTAAACTGTGGCTATAAATGAATAGGATGGGAAAACAGAATAAAATGTCCATTGTCTTTAATATGCAGAAAATGCAAGTTCTCTTGAAGAAGTAGTATAGCAGCAAAAGAGAAAGTTCAAGTTAGGACCGTTAGCCTTTGCTGTCTATCAACACTGACAGCCAGGGCTGAGCGACGGCTCAGTGGTCAAGAGTATGCACTGCTCTTGCAGGGGACCCGAGTGTGATCCCCAGCACCCACATCAGGCAACTCACAACCGCCTGTACTTCCACCCCATGGCTTCCTCCTGCTCAGACACATACTCAGATATACATAAATAACAATAACAATATAAAAAATGGGCAACACATTCCTAAGGCAAAGAATCCCTTATAAATCTGGACAGATGTAACAATTTTACTCAGATTTTCTGAGTGACTGCTAGCAATAAGGGAAAAGGACATGTGTGCACTGCCCACAATGGAGAATGTACTCAAAGAAAATGCAGACTTCATGAAAATGGCTTTATGCGAGTCAGTATAATGAAGAAAGTAAAACAACGGCCACTAAAAAGTCAAAGTAGTGTATGACTTTCCTTCAGAAATCCTAATCTGTCACTGTTTATATCGTCACAACTCTGGAGCACGTAGAACTCCCTGAGAAGCATTCAAATGGACGGAACTATTTACTTCTTGTTCTCCAGTTATTTTACAAAGGCAGAGCTCAGGATAGAAATCAACACAGCCACAGGAAATATGCCGAAGGAAAAGCTCATCTCAGCAGACAGATCCTCTTGACTGAGAGCGTTTCCACCACCCTTGCTGCCTGGAGGCTTCAACTAGACAGCATTTACTGTATGAGCTAGGATGTCACTGTCAACTATTCAACATTTAACGTGTTTTCCTAAGTACTACGAGCCAGCACCATTGGGGTTGGGGCCATCACCCCTGACACGGCTACAAACAAACAAACTTTATGAACTCTAAGCTTTCAGTCACCCCATCTCTGGTCCCCAGCTATACTGAGGTGGGCCACACCCAAGAGGCGAAGCAGAGAACTGTCGCCGAAGCTCCGACCCTTAGTGGCTCAGAAAACCACCCCACAAAGTATGGAGCAAGTTGAACTTTAAATAAAGGTAAATGGGAGGCTTTGGAAACTGTCTCAGACTTCCTAGTTCTCTGTGGTCTCCCCTGAACTAAGGCATTGGGGGGGGGGGGCTCTGAAACTCCTAGAACCCTATTCAGCAGGTAGGAAGGCTGCCACCAGGACTGGAAGTCCCATGGCTCATCTATCTCCCTCCCAGAGTACTCTGTCCCTGACTCTGTTTTCCCAGCTCATTCATAATCCCCTGCAGCTATTTACCCCTCAAAGTCCCTAAATCCCCTTGTTTCCTTTTCCTCTTCAACTACTCCAGTTTCCAGCTGCATTGGGCAAGCACTCTCCTGGGGGCTGGTACACATTAGTGAGGCTGTGTGGCCCTTTTTCTTCTAAGTCTGCTGAGGCCAGCCTCCCTCAAGGGTAAACATTTTCTCTGAGAGCAAAGAATTTTATTCCTCCTACGAGGGCTTGGCCATGGGTACTCAAAAACCATTATACAAAATACCATACCAAGCGCTTTGGTCTATCAAAACAGAAAATGGGTTGTCCCCAATGTTCATCCTATAGAAAACTGGTGAGGAACCCTAGACACATGTGCACACACCTCCAAATCATGACTTGACTTTCACATTCTAAGAGACTATTCAGACCACAGTCCATCAGACAGGACCGTCTACTTACATGGCACCCTCCTCCACACAGTCCATCAGACAGGACTGTCCGTCTATCTACACAGCACCCTCCACACAGCCCATCAGACAGGGCTGTCCGTCTGTCTACACGGCACCCTCCACCACACTCCACTCTCCTGACTTCCCTCAACTTCTTTTGTGACTTAACACTTACCATTCAGAAATGCAAGCATTCCCTAGAGGGAAAAGCAGAGAAAGCACAGAAGAGGCTCAACCCCCTCTCCTCCCACTGCCACACCCAGCTGCCCCCACCTTCTCCACAGTGCCCCGCCTCACCTGCTGCTGTTCAGTACGTTTTCAGTGATGTTGGTGGCAAACATGCCCTTATGGACGTCCCGTTCTTGAACAAAAAGGATGTAAGAAAGACGTCTTGCCAGCCATCCTCGGTGCCTGCAACACACAGAGAAACTTCTCAGCAAGTCCTGCACACTCCACTACACAGTGATTTTCCAGAGAGCGCTGGGGTCACTTATTCCAGCCAGCAGCCCTAGAGGTCAGAATGCTATGCAGCTGTCTGGCTCATTACTTTCATAGATTCTCAGGGAAAACTGAAACTTGGAAATTGTTTATCAATGCTTAAATTGTCTCATTTTTCTGACTAGCAATCCAAATCTGAAAACAGAAGAGACATCTGATTAATCAATAGCACTACAAGGACAAGCAAGTGGGATGTTACTCATTAGCTATGTAGGAGCTGGGGGACAGAGGTGGGGACAGCTTGGAGCTACAGCCATAGTCTACAAAGAGAAACTTGGCTATTTCCCAACACAAAGGGCTATATTGTCCAAGATAATCACTGAGCCTCAAAGTGAATTAAAAGCTAATCAAGTCAGACGTCCAGCTGTAAACACGCATCAGGTCTAAGCGAAAGGACATACTGGTGGAGGTGATGGCCACCACGTGCTGAGGAGCTGGGGGACACAGGGATGCACATCAGAGTAAGATGCTATGACTCCCACTGTGCAATGGTTTGAAACAAGGTATGACAATGACCGAAAGCAACATTGTTATGTCCTCCATGTGACACCAACAACTGGGAAGGCATGGAGTGGAAGTGTCTGTGAACACTCCTGTCGCCTGACTCTTCCTTTCCTGTCCCCGGGTTCCGAAAGGTGAGCTCCCGGTGCCGCATTCTCCCAAGCCCTCTGCGGTGAACACTTCAGATGACGACGATGACAGGAAGCCCGAGTGTTCCCCGAAATGGCTTTGCAACCTCCTGACATGGGTTTGTGTGGTGTGGAAGTGTGGGTGAGCGAGCACCCGAGGATGTGAGAGGGTGAGAGCGCATGCGAATGTGTGCGAATGGCCCGAGGACGTGTGGCAGGACAGTGCGCACCCGTGCTTGCAAAAGCTTTCAGCCTTTGTCATTTAACACACAAGAAGCTACACAGGCAACTTGTTTCATGAAATAGTTTGAGCTACCATCAGGTCAAAATAGCTGATGCCTTTTAAAATATCTTTAAAAAACTGTTCCAATCAGAGATAACACACAAAAAAAATATGGCCTCATAGGTAAAATGTCTATTTACATAAAGAAGAAAGTTCATTTACTTAGGACCACAGTCATGTCTACTAAGGACAAGAAATAAAAACAGATTTCATGGACCAGTCTCTCCTCTCTGCTTTAATGTAAACGGAGGAGACAGAGAGGAACCTGAGAAATGGAAAGGAAATGCTTGGATTTGGCCTCTGGTTCTGTTACCAAGGCAACCTAAACACACACGCGGGTCTGGTACTCTCATCTAGATTAGAGCAGTGCCATGGAGGACCAAAGCCACGCACCGCCTTCTTGGAGCACCTTTCTAGAACCCCAGAACACGGCCGACCGCCTTCGGGCATCTGCTCTTAGAACCACAAGGACTGTGGTGGCTTCGGCTGCTGTTTCTCTTGCTTCGCAGACACATTTTTCTAACTTTCCCTTATAGAAAGCAAAGGCCCCTTTGTCCCCGGTACTGGAATTCAGAAATCAGAATTCCTGTGTTTAACTTATCTTCACTAAGTAAGTCAAAGAACATTTCCTGCAAGCAGGGGACCGACAGCAGGGAGAGAGGACAGACAGACAGACAGCGAGTCTGAGCGCAGTACAGAGACTGACGTCATGGAAACACAATGAAACTCACCATCGGTACAGGAGACGCTCGCTCATAAAGGGGGCCTTACTACAGAGGGCTCTACAGAGTGGGGAGATGTCAATCACTGTCTTATGTTTCATTCCTGTGTTGGTGTATGTCTGCACACATGCCAGCACACATGGCAGCCCGAGATGACTCAGGAGCTGACACTCTCCTTCCGTCATGGGTTTCAGGAATCAGACTCAGAAAGTCAACAAGCTCAGCCATCTCATGGGTCCCATTTATATGTTTTTGCAGTATAAAATAGCTACAATGTATCATAAGACATGCAAATCTACATCTCTTGTCAAAGAAATACTCCCTACTGCTTAGCAAAAGTCAGTATCTATATGTGTTAAAGAACACCACAGGTGACAGACAGGAGAGCAGCATCAACCGTGACCTCCAACGGCCGTCCTGCTTCTGATCTTTAGACAGCTCGCTTGTGCCAAAGGCTCACATTCTGCCCACTCTAGACACCACAGGTACATCTTAAAGTATACTAATTACCATTACAGAGTTAGAAGTATAAAAAATGTCTTTTTACCTTGTGTGAGTTTCATTGATATAAATAACATTCCGCAAACCCAGAGATGGGATACTGGGGTTGAAAAACCTTTCCTATAAAAACAAAATGAATGTAGATGTGAATTCACAGCTGGGTTGATGGTCATGAATCCTAGTAATGTCTCTAGAAGACACGCAAACTTCAAGCATAACGGTAGCAATTGCTGCTTCCAAACTTGTAGAATGAAGAAAATATATATTTTGTTAAATAGTACTTTTCTACTTTAAAGAAGGTTAACTTTGAAACCTCCATGGTATCCCTCTCCCACCACCGCTCTTTCCCCTACAGAGTAGGGACCTACAATCAGCTTCAGCCACAAAGGCACAGATTTCAGTCTTCCCCAAATGCAAACTATTATCCTAAATATCAGTTACTGTTTAACCCCTCAGTGCACAAGACACATGAAAATTACCCTTTGTATGTGTAAGAATATTGAGACTGCCACGACCTGAGCATTCAATCTCAGGTATTTCCACTCTGTAAAGCAGCTGAGCACCTCACCGTCACCTAAAAGTGTATCTTCCAGTCACTCTCTTGACGGGAGATCTTGAAAAGATAGTCTACCCCTTTAACAATGTGAGCAAAACAGTTAAAGTCCAAAAGTAAATGCAAAGGAAAAACGTGTCAACAAGAGGTAAAGATTACTGCGATGAAATCCCTTTATCAAAAACTGGGGTTTCAAAGACTAGATGTCAAATATCAAGAACTATAAAAAACGTACTAACAGATTATTTTAAATGAGCATGGAAGAGAGTCAAGATGAATGTAATTCCATCCATTGCTACCTTGACACAAAAAGCAGCAGCCAGTTACAATATATCCAGCCAACCCCAGGCCATAGTCTCACCACCAATAGCTCTGGCTGACAACACACTGTAGCCCTGCAGTTGTAATACTGTTTGGTGTAGAACTGTAGTTAAGGTATTACCTTGCATTCAAAATTAGAATTAGGTGAGAGGTCAGTCTAAAAAGAAAACCCACGTGGCCTTCTATTTAAATTTTTGTTTCCACTGCCCTCTAAATGCAAATTGGCCTCACTCCTGGACTGGCAATCTTCATGCCTTCAGTGGTAGCGAATTCCTGCGTTACGGCACTTAGAGTTCGCAAGGCACATCTCTAACAAGCCATTCTTGAGCAGATCTCAACACTGAACAGGAACCGCAAAGGCTCTGCCTAAATCTCACCAATGTTAATAAAGCCCTCTATGCAGGCAGAGCTGAGCCTTCTGCCCCGTCAGCCTCCAGTGGAGAACGCAGCCAGCACAGCCAGCCATTCACACGAGTTACTACCACCCTCTGTAAACAACAGCTTCTGAGTCCTAAATATTTGGCCCACTCCAAGAACAGCTTAATAACTAATACGACCTTTCAAAACATAACTCTCGCCTTAGAGCAGTAGGGAAAAAGATCCTATGGTTGCTAGCTCATCCCTGCACCAAACGCTATCAGCAGCTCACCTTCCACCCAGTCAGCTCTTCTCATTTCTCAACAAAATAACAAAAACCAAGAGCATTCTTGGGGGCTAAAAGTCAGCACCTACCAGGTACTGAGCACGCCATCAACTCTATGGATGTTAACTCAAAATAAAATCTACTCTCCCTAACTGTAGATCAGCATTACTGAACAAATGAAGTAACTCCAGTTCTTTACTGGAAATGCTTGACTTGGTTCTACAGGAGTCAAATCCAGTCAGACCAAACACCAAAATCCACAAAACTGAAGCCCTCTGTGGTGAGCAGGAGCGTTCTTACCCAGCTCTGGGGCGTGCAGGAGTAGCAGCACCTTCCCACAAAGGGCCTCTTCCGACTCATGAGACTCTCCTTCCATTTTAATGTCGCAGATCTGAAGAACGTAGGTTTGAACCCACAGTCACCCTGATAAGTATAAGAGAGAAATTATGTCTAAATGGCAAGAGGCTTGTTCTCATCTTCTTGGTCTCTAAAATTAAGGTATTTCAAATAAAAGAGAAAATTATGCTGTCTCTTTGAGCAGCATAATTACATGGGCCTTGACTGTTTTTATGTAAAGTACCTTGTTCCACAGTCATTTGGGAAAAGTTTGTTAATAAGAAAAGGTTGGTTTCCTAAAACTATAGTTTGTAACAGTTGCTGCATTCTCAGTGCAGCATTACAGTCTGTGACAGTTGCTGCATGCTCAGTGCAGCATTACAGTCTGTAACAGTTGCTGCATGCTCAGTGCAGCATTAGTCTGTAACAGTTGCTGCATGCTCGATGCAGCATTACAGTCTGTAACAGTTGCTGCATGCTCGATGCAGCATTCACAGGTTTTATCACAGTTCTGGTGCTCACCAGAGGACAAATGGATAAAAACACGACATACATATTACCCAGTGGAATATTATTTAGTCACAAAAAGGATGAAACCCAAAGAAGCCTGGAGTTCATTATGTTAACAACAGCCAGGACACAAAGGCAACCACTGCCGTTCTTACACGTGTAAATTGAAAATGTTGATCTCAGAGAAGCAGAGAGTAGAACAGTAACCCAAAGTTGTAAAGGTCAAAGGAACTTGTGACCGTGGGGTGAAGAAATCAGACTACTGAATCCCTAGCTCAGCCAACGTTATGCCCTTCCAAAACACCCCCAGAGGAAAACTATGAAGGCCTGACACAGTGAGCAGTTGTTCTTATGATACTTCAGAGGAAAAAACAGTACGCTTAGTGACATTCTGTTATCGAAGCATTAGAAGGCAGAGACATGAGTCAAACCCTGTTCGAGCATGTTCAGATTTCTCCTTAACTTTGAGAGATAAAATAATAAACACTGATAAAACGATCTTAAACATAACCAAAATGCCGGGCATTGATGCTGCACACCTTTAATTACAGCACTCGGGAGGCAGAGGCAGGTGAATTTCTGTGAGTTCGAGGCCAGCCTGGTCTGCAGAGTGAGTTCCAGGAAAGCCAAGAGTACACAGAGAAACCCTGTCTCAAAACAAACAAAAATAACAACATAAATAAATAAATAAATAAATAAATAAATAAATAAATAAATAAATAAATAAAATATTGTTGTAAATTTGTGTTGAGGTATTTTAAACATTCCATGTTAATTTGAAATAGTAACCCAAGAAATGCATGCTCTTACAATTAGTTTAATAAGCAAGCTTCTTATTTTTAATGCTTTTAGAGTTTGTTTCCATTATAAAATTCATGCTTTCCCAATATAAGTTGTGGCGTGGGTACTGAAAGAAAAAGAACTTACAAGCACACCACCCAACACAACGGCCACTGTTCACGCCTCCGGGATCTGCTTTGTATGTAATGTGATCGCCATTTTGAAATTTTCCATCCAGGTTTTTTTCCCAATGAGTAGTGGTAAAAATTTTAAATTATTCTTAGACTGCTAACGGCTGAAGGAGTTCCCACAGCAGGAAGCAGGTTCTGCAATGATTAATCTCTACTTGATACAGGCACATAGTTGATGTGAACTCTTCTGAAGGTTTAAGCTTACCCAGTCCTCATTGGCATGTTTACATCGGCCAAGGCTGTACTCTGATGAACCGTGCAGGTAAGAAACGTCTATCGTGCCAAGCATCACTGAAGATTCATCCATGTCACTGTGCGCAAGGTCCAATTCATGAGCTGTAAGAAATAAGTAGTACTAAGGAAGCATCCTGAAAGTGCTCATCTCTACAGGATTCTGCTCAGTAACTGGGTATCAGATGAGCGGACAGACTACAGTGAGTGCTGTAAGTCACTGCAGAAAAACTCCAGCGTGGTCGTGGAGCGCTCGCTTATCTGGCCTGCTGTGCTTTTTATGTCTCTGTTAAACCACCCTGATTAGAGAGGAAAAGTCAACATTTGTAAACCAGTACTTCCTGAACATACAAGGATACAACGTCTGTACCCTTCAGATTCCTGAGCAACTTGTGAGAACAAACAGGTTAACACCAGCATGCAACAAATAATTATTGCGCTTTGTTAATAACTGAGCAATTCCTGAGAGGATGAAGCCATAATTTTTTATTATTTATGACTATGTATGCACATATGTGCATATGCATACGAGGACATGAGACCCCCTGGTCTAGAGTTACAGGTGGTTGGGAGGCACCTGATGCATGTGCTGAGAACCAAACTCTGCTCTTCTGAAAGACCAGCAAGCATGTGCTTAACCACTGACCATTTCTCCGACTGTAGCACAAGCTTATTTAGTGTGATATATGTTATATGTATGGGTTTAGGGTTGCTTTTTTATAATCTTTAAAAACTGTCTTATACAATTTTTAATTATTTTAGCTATGTGTTCTTTCTCACCTAGCATTAGATTCTTCTCTTAAAATGTACAGATCACCTTCGGTTAACAATGTTCTCTAAGGGGAACACTTGGACTCTGCAATCCCCACATGGATTTGTTCCAGTAACTGTTTAGCATCAAAACAGCTGCACCTGCATAAGCAACCAGCTGACACCAGAGACAGTGAGCATCGCACCTGGGGGGAAAAGTTCTGTATCATAAAAATTCGGCTCTCGGCGACGAACTTCAGGTCCAGAATGGCCACACCACAGGGGGAGCGCGCTTCTGTCTGAGAAAAGAAATGAGGAGATGAGAGGAGGAAAAGGAGGCTGTGCCAAGAAAAGTCCACGCCTTGCTTCTCCCGCCCCACAGGGTTTACCCGAGGTCAAGGAAGATTTTTTTTTTCTTACAGGACAAGGGAGAATTTAAAAAAGAAAACACGTAAATCCCAAAGGATCCAGACAGCTGTGCTGAGCAGAGCAGAATACGAAATCTGTCAGTCGGGCACAGGCAGAGGCAGTGGCCCCAATCTGGAGTTTAAAGCCCCGCCTGCAGCCCCGCGTGGGAATTCGGACAAGTTAGTTAATATTGCATTAACTTGCGTTTCCCAGCTGGAGAACGAGCAGCATCGCAGCCGGCTCGACCGGCTCGCGCTGCTGGGAGGGCAGGGGTCTCCACAGCACGCCCGGGACACTGCGAGCGCACGGCGCTCGGTCCCACGCCGCGTGGCTGCTGTCAGCGAGCGGTCCCCAGAGCTAGCTGCTCGCGGAGCGCCCTGCTGCCTCGGTTTCCCCGGGGAGTATGGGGGGGGGGGGGGTCTGAGATGACAGCCCTGCCGCTGGCTGCACTGCAGCCCGATCCCTCGGGCATTGCCGTACCCACCCTGCCCGGAGCCCGGCCCACTTCAGGGGGGGAACCCGGAGTCCGCCCGGAACACTTGCAAAGCCTCGGGCGGGCCCAGGGAGAGGGGCGTCCACGCACCTGTCCCCGCGCTCGGGCCCAGCGGCTTCCCGCAGCCGCAGCCCGCCCCGCGCTCTGCTCCACCCGCCCGGCAGCTCGCGCCTGGGCGCCCACAGCTGCCAGCGCTTCAGCTCTGCGCCTGCTGCAGCGGCGCACCGCGATGACGCCGCTGCGCGCAGCAGTGACGTCAGGAGCGGCTGGACGCCGGGCCCTGCAGAAGGTGTTTGAACGAAGGGCAGGCAGCGTGCTTACACTGAGGTTGGGGAGCAAGCCTCGTGGTTACCCTGCCCGTGGTTTCGTGCGTCGGTCGGTCCGTCTGTCAGTCTGCCACTTCCTCGTGTGACTTCAGCTGACCTGGGTGCTCCCACCAGCAGCAGACCCAGTGGTTCAGTGCATGTGGGCTGTGTGCGTTTAGGTACATAAGCATGATCTTGCCCTTTTACGAAACGTGTGAGAGTCAGCTGAATTTGTTAAGAACGTGGAGGCAAAGGTTGCAAAAGACAGCTTTGTGAAATTTCTGTGAGTGGCTGATCCTCAAAGGGGGGGAAATGAAGAATGGACAAGGTAAGGCTTGAAAGATACAAAGCCGCCAAGGCAGCAGGAGTCAGCTTTTTTCCTTTTTGAAGGATATTGCGCAAAACAGTGTATGCGGCGATTGTGCTAAATGACCGTGTGCTGACTTCTGAGGGTGTTGAGATGTACATTCCAAATGCTCTCACCACAGGAATTGCCAAGGGTTTGAAATAATGGTGTCCCGATTAGCTCGGCTTAGTTGTTTAGATTGTACTCATAATTCATAACAGCCCCTCATATATATGTGTGTGTGTGTGTATATAAGCTATTATGCATGCATTTACAATTAATACCTTTTTCAGAACCTCTTGAAGAAATTCAGGTCAAACATTACTTGACTTGAGTTATTTAAACAAAACAACACTGAGCAGGAAGAGGCTCTTTTGCAATATTTGCCAGAACTATTGACAAGGTCGATGGTTATCAAAAGCATTAGTAATTTAAAATGAAAACGATATACCACTCAACACCCCTTAAATATGAACTAGAACCTGGGAACACACATAAAACATGGTCTGTCCTTAAGTCACTGCTATTGGGTTTTGGTGGCCATCTTGCACGGTCTCATCCTAATCTTCTCAAACAAACCTTTGTGCATGAACAACCCAAAAAATCTTAGACATAGCTCCCTAGTATTGAAATTCCTGGGCCCTGAACATCAGGACTGCAACTGAGAGGCCCCTCTTTCCCCACTCTTCCCCAGCAGTTGTCCCTCCCGTGGTCCTGAGACAGCCTGTACCGCTCCTCCCAGCATCTTGTGGTCCCTAAACTCGTTCTCCAGGCCTTCCCTATTCTCTCGGGGCCTCAATTAGCACATCCTACTGTACGTCACAAAGATTAACAAGCACCAAGTGTTAGGCCCTCATCAGTGCATGTCATAATTCCATAAGGTTACAAACTCGTGATGCCAGAGCCTTGCACCCAAGTCCTAATTAACGCTCAATGCTGTGTTCTAATATGCATCGCATATTTGAAGCTGAGGCCCAAGAACAAGACTTTCTTGAACTTTCTACTTCTCTTTATAAGCCCATCTTAAGGAGCAGATACTCTTTTCTGGAAAATAACCCCAGAGATTGGAAATGGGTATTCATACAATAAGAGTATAGGTCTTCTTAAAGTCAAAGACCCTGCCTTTCTTTAGCCTCATGTGTACCTTAGCAAAACAAAACAAAACAACAACAACAAAAAAAAAACACTTCACTAAAGTTCTGGAGCACTATATATTGGCTACAAAGACTAGGATACTGGGCCTTAACAACAAACAAAACATGAAAGGAAAAAAAATAAAAAGGCCTTAGGTTGGAAAGACTGACACAGAAATTCTAAACTATAAGCCAGAGGGAAAATATGTCATACATAAAACTTAGTTATGTGGATTCTTCTTGCACAAGAGATACTGTATGTGTCAATGTGGGTCGCCATGCCAAGAAGTCCAGGTTACTTAATGGAAATTGTTTTGGAAACAGGTGACTCCCTAAGCAATCTGTTTTATCAAAGAGTGAATTACAGTAACCAGTCCAGCCAGTCAAGATGGAGCAATGTGTGAATTCACTGCCTGATGTAACATAGCAAAAGCCAAACAGACATTCACACACCAGACATCATATACCTGAGATGGACAGTCCAGGGGAGGGAAACAAATGAGCGGAGCCCCATCATTACGCTGATTTATCACCTAGAAAGAGGAGGAACTCAGAAGTGTAGGTAGACTGAGAGATCATGGCTGATGGAGCTGGTGCAGATTACCAGAGAGAAGAAAGCTATGTGGCACAGGGAGCCATGAAGGCCTGCAGACCTCAGTCCAGCTGATTCCCACACATGTCAGGAAGCTATCCACGTACAGGGAAGAAGGACACATAAGCACATGAAGAGAAGAAAGAACACTCCCTGTGGCTTGCACAAGATAGGGGATTATTCTTGTTCCTACAAGTCAGAGTTAAAAGATTCTCAGTGGTCATACAAGACTGTAAAATGCCTGATCTTCAAAGAGTGAAAACCCCATAATCCATGACATAAATGATCTCACCTCAGTAGCAGAGCAAAACTAGCCCTACAGTAAAGTCTATTATGGTCCTATTTAACAAATCTTAAAAAACCAAGCTCTACCCCCAAACCCTTGATTCAGTTGCTTAAAAAAAAAAAAGTATCTTAGAATAATGCATGAGAATACTTACAGGGAATTAAACATATTCTGTATCCTGTAACTCACAGTGAAATTCTCAGTACAGTGAAATTATTAGGTATGAAAAAGGAACAGGAAAGAGTGACGCATAGCAAAAATGAGGAAAGCGACAACTGAGAATCCTAGAGATAGTAGGTTAATTGCAAGCAGAATAGAGACATGGGAAAAAAGCCACATCTAGACTGGGAGAGAGGGTGTAGCTCAGTTGGTAGATTGCTTGCTTAGGTCACATGCATGAAGTCATGTATCCCGTACATAGAACCACCCACCAGTAGATGTGGAGACATAGATAGACTTTTAATTCCAGCACTTAGGAAATAGAGGCAGAGGACCAGAGTTCAAAATCATCCTCCACTATAAGGTGAGTTCAGTGCCTGCTGGGCTACAAGTGACCCTGTCTCAAAACAATCTAAATCTAACAGATGTTGTAAAAATCACTGAGTTTTTTTTTTAAAATATAAACGCATACACACTTGCGATGAATTAACAGCAGGTTAATTGTTACTGAAAAATAAACTGAGTTCCTTTCAAACACTGTGAGAACTGTGCAGAATGCGGCATCAAGGGACTAGAGATGACACAGCAGCAGGAACCTGAGGTGCCTGTGACTGGTGTCCACGGAGGAAAGGAGAAAAGTTCACACTGAAAGATTCATCTAGAGAAAACTCAGGCTACAGGAAATGTTACTGGTTTTCAGACAAAAAGTAAAATGCTGTAGATTGAAATATGAACCTATACAAAAGAATCAGGAGACCTTAAGAACCCCTGGATAATGTTCATAGTAAGATCTCTTTGAAGGCCGGGCGATGGTGGCAGATCTCTGTGAGTTCGAGACCAGCCTGGTCTACAGAGCTAGTTCCAGGACAGGCTCCAAAGCCACAGAGAAACCCTGTCTCGAAAAACAAAAACAAAAACAAAAAAAAAAAAAAAGAAAAAGAAAAAAAGAGAAGATCTCTTTGAAAGATAATGACTTTACAACAAAAATAAAAACAACAGACTGTGGAGTTTACAGCACGCAGAACTCACATGTATCACAACAGCAGGGAGTCCAACCCCACAAAGACGAAAGGTGACGGGACCAGAACCCAAGCTTTTCTCACACTTAAACTCTGTGTTTTCTCCAACATCTACACTGCCTATTTAATGGTCCCTCTCCAAAAGGCTCCCCTGGTGATCGACAGGAACATGAGTACATTTGTTCCACTTATTACTGATCCACTGTACACTTCTCCAAAAGAGAGCAGTATTAGCTGACTTTTCAAAATCCAGTCTTGTAGTCACTAGCCATGGCATCTCTTGATCTCAAATACAACAATTATTCTACAAAATCCTAGTCAAAGAAATCAGTTGAATGACAAAGAGGCCTAAACTTTTCTCCAGGCTGCTTCTGGGTATTGAATTATTCAGAAACTATTTACAAAGCCTCTCCTTGATGCCAGACACTCTGCTGTAAATATAGCTTTAACAGGACAATGTTGTCCCTTCTCTGGAGGGTATAGCTGGTATACTTACTCAACTCCTGTTTATTGCCCTCCAAAAGATTCAAAGCTCGGCGTTAGCCCTTTGCCTTGTGG